AGGAAATCAGCCACGTACTGCTAGTATTTTCCTTCTTTTCTTTAGTTTCATTTTTGTCTTTACAGCTGAATCTATAATGAGTGGTGGTGACTCCAGTTAGCTCCTGATGGGGGTGCCCTTTCTAACAGTGAGTCACCTCCTTCTTTGTCTCAATGGTACTGAGACATTAAAACCCACACTTATTACTAGTGCCAGTGCTCTCATTCCCCTGGTTTTCATGCACGTAAAATAAAGACAAAGTGTGAGCTGATACTCATAGAACCACCTAACACGACTGCACAATGGCAGGGGTGCTGGCGCCTGCCGCAGAGACAGACCTGCTGATGGGTGACCTGTCGGCCAATGCTCCTAATGGCCGGTTTGTCAGCTGATGCACGGGTCTGAATTCACAGGAATGAGGTGGTTTGGGGATATGTGACCATGTACAAAAGTGCCAGCTGTACAAAAGCTGATATAAAAATATTGAGCACTGCAGGCAGATTCTTCACCAATTGAGCTATAACGGAAGCCCTGTTGAGGACTACCCGCACTTAAAACCCAAAAGCTCCGGAGACAAGCGCAATTTTTTAATCCAACTTGATTAAGTCAAAGGATGGAATTTCATTACAATCAAGGTAACCTCATTACATTCAGGAATTTGAATGATAACTGTCGGAATATATCCCACCACTTTCAATACTCAAAGTAACATCCCTACATCCTTCCAGGGAAACAGTTATGATTTCAAAAATTAAATCATGTATTTAAAATCAAAACACATGAAGTCAGACTATACACACCATCTTATTTTCCCCACTTATTAATAATCTTTCCCTGTCGGTACATACAAATCTACCATGTCCATTTTCATGGCTGCATACTATTCTGCTATACCAAAATCTCATTAGGCAACCAGCCCTGGACTGATACACACTTGGATATTTCCAGTGCTTTACTGTTATAATAATGCCACAACTGAACATCTTGTTTATGTATATAGGCATTCTTTTTCAAGCATATCAGTAATGATAAATGCTAAGTGGTAGAAATCCTTGGTGAAAGATCATACATGTTTCAAATGTAGGTAGATTTTACCAGATTGTCCTTGTCATCAGCAATATGTGGTGTGGCTCCCCTCACCCTTAATGACATAAAAAATTATCAATCATTTTGTACTTCTTTTTTAAAATTTATTTTGGCTGTGCTCCATAGCATGTGGGATCTTATTTCCCTGACCAGGGGTTGAACCTGTGTCCCCTGCTGTGGAAGCACAAGGTCCTAACCATTGGACAACCAAGGAAGTTCCTCAATCATTTTAATTTTTACTAATCTGTTAGGAGAAATCACATATCTAATTATTGCTCTGAATTATATCCTTTTACTTCTAAGTGAGACTTACTATCTTTTTTCTGTTGGCTGTGCTGGGTCTTTGTTGCTGTTGTTGGGCTTTCTCTCATTGTGGAGCGTAGGCTCTAGGGCTCATGGCCTCAGTAGTCATGGTACACAGGCTTAGTTGCCCCGCAGCATGTGGGATCCTCCAGGACCAGGGATCGAATCTGTGCCCCTACATTGGCAGGCAGATTCTTAACCACTAGACCACCAGGGAAGTCCCAGCATCTTTCTAGTGGCTATCTGTATTTCCTTTTTATATGAACTACCCATTTTTCTTTTGTACTATTTTTCTTATCGATTTACACAAACTCGTTGTAAATAAGCCCCATTTGTTACAATGTCTTGCAAATAATTTCCCCTTATTTACAAAGCAGTGTTTAATATTTATGTGATTTTTTTTCACCAGTTGACTTTTGTGCTTGACTATGACTTCTGTGCTTGTTCTTTCCAAGGCCAAGACCACAAGCTGATTCTCTGATGTTTTCCCTCTGCACGTTCATGGTTTCACTTTTTAAGGTTTAAATTTTAATCCTCTTGGAATTAATTCTGATGAAAGGCATGAGATAGGGATCCAGCTTTATTTTTTCCTAAAGACCCAATCAGTCATTACTTGTGAGTGAATTATCCATCTTGATAGAAAATGCTACTGTAATCCTACACGGAATCCTCCAATCCTGTGGACTGTCTGCTCCATTGAATAGTCCTCCCCGATCGCTGATGTTTCAGAAACTTCCTGGTTATCAGAGAGGATTTATTCTAGATTAGGGTTTATCAACAGCGCACTACTGACATTTCTGGCAGGACCCTTCCTTTCTGTGAGGGGCTATCCTGTGCCTTGCAGGAAGCTCAGCAGCACCACTGACCTCTGCCCACTGGATGGCAGTATCACCCTCAGTGATGCCAACCAAATCTGTCTGCAGACTTTGCCGGTGGTTCCCTGGGTTGGGGTGAAGGGCAAAATCGCCTGAGGTTGAGAACTGCTGTTTCATGTAAATCAGTCTCATTTTATCAGTGTTTCTGCTCTCGAATTCCCACTGATACTCTAACCGAGATGAAGACAAATTCATAGGATACGTCTGACATCTGTTTTATTTAACATAGCTACTAAATTTAATCTTTGTTATATTTAGTCTTATCCAAGAGCCAGGTATATACCCTTCTACTTATGCATACCTTCATTTATGTCCTTTTAAAAAAGTTTTAAGATTTTTTAAAATATAGGCCCTGGTCATATTGTTTGTGTGCATGCATGCTCAGTTGTGTCTGACTCTTTGCGACCCCATGGACTGTGGCTCTTCTGTCCACAGAATTCTCAAGGCAATAATACTGGAGTGGGCTGCCATTCCCTCCTTCTTCAGGGGATCTTCCCTACCCAGGGTTCAAACCCTCCCGCATTGGAGGTGGATTCTTTACCCACTGTGCTACCTGGGAAGTCCCAATATTAAGCTTACTACTAGGTATTTTACCTTTTTCATTCCTTTACAAATGGGATTATTTCTTATGTCATTATCTTTCCTAACTAGTTACTGATGAGAAAGCTATTGATATTTCACATTCTATAATCAGCCACCCATTGAACTCTTATCATATCTATCAGATTTTCAGGACATGATAAGGTTTTTCTAATGATACAACTTTCAGGAAATTCTAAGCATACAATGTTATTGTCTGCATAACATCACCATTATGTTCTATCATGAACACCCTCCTATAGCTCTCCTGTCTCACTGCCTAGCTTAATACTTGCAGAAAAAATTGGTGATGGGCAAACTTAAGTCATCCTTGATTTTAATGGAAATACTTCTAAGATTTCACAATACAGCATAATGTTGAATTGAGATACATACTGAAATACATATTATGTATTGAGATACATAATGTTGCTAGAGATACATACATTTCATATCACTAAAGAAGTACCCATACACTTGTAATCTACCGAGAGGTTTTTTTTTTAAATCAGAAAGAAGTGAAAGTGAAATCAAAGAGTGCTCTTTTTGTCCAAGGCATATTCCATCTCTATCGGAATGATCTCATGATTTTTCCTCTTTAGCCTATTAATATTGTGTGAAGGATTATATTCCTGAATCTCCTAGTAAGCCAGTATTGGATGGCATAAATCCACTTGGTTTTGATATGCCCTACTGCTGTTAATTTGTTGAATTCTACTTGCTATAATTTTCACCTCAACGTTTTTACATCAATATTTGAGAGTGAGGTCAGTCGGTTAGTTTTCTCGTGGTACTTTGTTAACTTGTAAAAACAGTCTTAGGCTGGCTTGATAAAAATATACTGTACTTTCATATGCTGTATTTTAAAAGCAAAATGTGTGAGGGCTTCCCTGGTGGTTCCGTGGTAAAGAATCCACCTCCCAATGCAGGAGACACAGGTTCCAGGCCTGATATGGGAGCATCCCACATGCCGCAGAGAAACTAAGCCTGTGAGCCACAACTATTGACCCTGTGCTCTAGAGCCTGGGAGCCACAACTACTGAAGCCCGTGCTAGAGCCTGTGCTCTGCAGCAAGAGAAGCCACTGCAGGGAGAAGCCTGAGCACAGCAACTAGAGTCGCCCCTGCTCACCGCAAGTGGGGTAAAGCCTGCGCAGCAATGAAGACCCAGTGCAGCCAAAAATTAATAAATAAAATTATTTAGAAAAAGCATGAAACCAGTCTTATGAAAAGTAAAACGGTTGTAGAGAAACATGAGGCCATTCCCCCCACATCATAAAAAAAGTCACATATATTCTTTACAGATTCAACTTTTTGAAAAGAGTAAATTAAAATATACCTTTGGAAAGCTAATCTGTGATATTTTATGTAAAAGTGAGGAAGTCATAAGCAGGCTACCATTAAACCCCTATCATAAATGAACATTTCAGCTGTTCCCATCCTGGATAACTGAACAATACATTACGATCATTTATGGGCCTGCACTGTGAATTGGACCACGGAAAGCTCAGCTTTCTTATCTGCATGCTGCAAAAGAATATGAAATATATTCTTTGATGTTTTAAGTTTCCAATGCTCTGAATAATGGATTAAAAAAAAAAAAAAAAAAAAAAAAACCTTTTCTGTTTCTCAAGAAACTGCTAACACAGAGAATGCCTACGGCTTTCAGCGGCCACTGGCATCTGAGCGACTGCGAGCAGCCTTGAGATCTTGCTGGTCTCCACAGGACCCAGGACGCAGGCTGGCAGCTTGGCCAGGGACCTTTGGGCCCACGCACTCATCTACACTGCAATACCAAGACCCCAAGACAGCCCCACGGCCTGTACCACCCTGCCTGGATCCCCACGAAGGCCACACGTGCAGGGAGACGGACAAGCAGAGGGGCGGAGGGACACACAGGGCGCCCCACCGTCTCCGTGTCCCCTTGTGTCTGTCTCCCCGAGACATATAAACCCCCCGTTGTGGAATATTGTCGCCTAAAAGCTCCTGACTCAAAGTGGTCCTGACAGACCTGACGGGGGAAGGGGGAGTGAAGCCCTGAAATGTTTTCAAACGGACAAGAAAGGGCCTCCTGGGCTCCTCCGCCCTGGGCTCCCCCCAGGTGCCCCGCCCCTCCCAGGACCCTGCCCACCTGCCCGCCCCCTACGCCTGAGTCTCTCCTTGTCCCCACTCCCGCCTACCTGAGGGGCCCCTCAGGCGGCTCTCGGTGAGTTCGGAGATGGCCCCAGACGTGGACGTCTTTTTCAGCCGAGCTGCTGCCCCGGAAGCGGCGGCCACCCCGGGCTTGTTGAGCGTGTCCTCGCTGCTGGCCCGCTTGAGCTGAAGAGAGGTGGGGGAGAGAGGGTGAAGAGATGCATTTTCGGGAAGGGGCGCCATAAACCGGCACAGCACGGAGCGGGCCCCACCTGCCCACCCCGGCCGGAGGGAACAGCGCAGAGTGGACAAACCCGGATGCCCTCTGGTCCTGGCACGGGCCTCCAGCAGTGCTTCAGAGATCCGTGTAAGGTCGTGGGCGGTCACCACCCGTCAATCACATTCAAATAATGACGTTTTTAAAATATGATGTGTATTTTTATGTATTTATTTGGCTGAGACACCCCCACCCCCTGCCCCCAGCGTGCAGGCCAACCGGGGATGGAACCCATGCCCCGTGCATTGGAAGCAGGGAGTCAACCACTGGACCACCAGGATGGTCCCGATGTATTATTGTTTTTTTCTTAAAAGACTGGGAACCAACGAAAAAAGAACTATATGGCACACAGAAGTCAGGATAGAGTGACACACAAGAAATTCAAAGACAATAAAAAGTAGCACAATCTCTGGCGATTCTTCCGATCTCAGAGGAAAGAGATACAAACGGGAATATCCACAGGTGCCCACCCCAAGCACTGGCAGGCGACCCCACACATACTGTGTTCAGATGGAGGAGAGGGACTGCTGTGGAGCCAGAAGAATGGTTAGGAATGGCAGAAAGACAGCAGGACCCCTGCTCCTTGTCTGCCTTCTTCCCTGGCACAGAGGCAGAGAACAAACATTTGCTGAAAGGTATTGAAGTGTGTATGTGGGGGGGCAGGCCTAAATGAGTTCACACTCTGGCCCAGGTAAACCATACCTGAGCTGAAGGAGAAAAACCACAAATAAGTTCTCCCAACCACAGAGTCTTGGTTAAAGATGGCTGTGGAGGGGATCCTTCTAGAAGACAAGGCAGGCAGGTGTCCAGAGCCTCCACAAACACACATGACACTCGGAGAAACAGCATGAAAATTCCCTTGAATCAACGGAGACCTGGAGCAGGAAGCCCAGGCCACCACACTGGTCAGGGGCTCCATCCTGCTCTAGGGCCATTTCCTGAAGGTTAAGGAGCCCAGAGAGGGAGAACAGGGAGGGTGTGGAACAGAGAGCCTGGGCCCCTCCCCTCTCACCACAGCCCCCAGAGCTGCTCCCACCATCCTGGACACTGTGCTCCGAAGGCCTACTGCCAGCTGGGCGTCCACCCTCAGTGCATGCAATGTGCTGAATCCACGGGCCAGGGTGCCCACGGGTCACAGCAGAGTGGGCGGCCTGCTCTCAGGGTCAACAACCAGCAAAGGGGCTAGTTCCTGTGTGGTGACTCAGAACTCGTCATGAAGAGTGAGGAAAACAAAAACGGGAGGTGTGGGCATCCTCACGGAGCAGGTGCCCTGGACCAGGCCTGGAGGACCAAGTGGATGGGGTGTCCCTGAGGCCACAGGTGTACGCTAAAAGCTGGGGGCAGGGAGCAGGGCGGGGAAGGAAGGGGGAACACATGGGACCAGGGAAGGACCCTCCTGGCTCCTGGAGAAATAGGCTGAGGAGAAGCAGTGACAAGGATTCGGGTGTAATGAGCAGACAACAGGGAAACCCATGTGTTCCAGCCAGGAAAGCCATCCAGTTGAGTCCACTGGAGAGACCCCTCTGTGAGCAGAAGAGAAGGAGGGATCGGGCAGGGTTGGGGAGGGGAGAGAGGAGGCAGCTGGAAGGGCAGGCAGGGGTGGGGGGAATAGAGAGAGCACCTAGGGGAGGCAGAAGGAAGGCAAAGTCAAGTTCTTGCTGTTAAGACTGGGTGGTAAGCCTGTTTGGAGGGTCAGAGGCAGAATTAAGGGAACAGACAGGAGCTGATGACATGCGGCAGCCTGGGTCCTTCTAGGTCCTTGACTCACATGTTACTTCTGATTCAAACCACAACTTGACTACCCCGGACTTGACAAAGCGAATTAACTAACTCACTCGAGGCTGCGTGGGTGAGGCAGGACTGGGAGGCAGGCCCAGGACTGTGTTTCCAAGGCCTGTAAGGTTTTCACTGGGCTGGAGCCCAAGAAGAGCCAGGAGACGCCGGGCACACCACCAGGGCGAGGGCTTGTGGGCAGGGCTGGAGGAAAGCCATGTTGCATGGGCGGCACAAGGTGGCATCTCATGGCACCAGCTCTAAGTTCAGACTTGGGATCCTGGGCTGGAGTCTTGGCTCTGCCTCTTACTGGCCGTGTGACCCAGGGCAAATCACTTTACCTCTGTGCTTTTGTGGGTTTTTCCTGTACTTTTGTTTCTCCACCTGATAAACAGATCAAGCCATGATACGGATCTGAGTGAACTCTGAAGCCCACTTCTGAGTTCCATTTTACCAGCTGTACCCAACTTCCTTGGCCTCTTCTTGGACTTTAGGGTCGCAACCTGTATTATAAAAAGATCTGATCCCATCCTTCACTGGCAAAAGGATAAGACAGACGTGCTCCAGGCCAGTGGCGTGCTGTCTCCCTAGTGCAGCATGGCCTATTTGGGTGGCAGCAAAGCTTTTACAGGGAGCCCTTCATTTCTCCTGCACCTTCCACGAGGAATTCCTTTGGAGAAAGACTCACTGCTTAGTACTTTCCCCAGAGGCAGGACATACAGACCCCAGATTGATCCTTCCTGTCCTCTGAGGCAATATCAGACACAGAACATTTCCACTGGGTCAAAGCCTAAGAGAAGCCAGGAGACGCCGGCCACACCGCTGGAGTGAGGTTACTAATTCTTCTTTCTCTGTTCATGGCTGCATTCTTGGCTTTGTTTCCTGGTCATCAAATGCAACTTTGGCACCACCTGAGATCTCTGGTTTCTTATACAAGATCCCTACGAAAGCATCGGTCTTGCTTTGATGTGTGTAATAAGTATTTTCACCAACGCTTCCACTGATATTTAAGCTGCTGAGCACTTGTACATGAAAGATTACAAAAGGAAAACGTCTGAACAGCTCACAGATTCATGTAGCTAAGAGATCCCTTCAATTCCACAAAGATGGGGATGGAGGAAGTCAAAATTCTCAAATAATTGCACAAAACACAATCTGGTCCTTCAAAGTGGAAAACATGTTAATGGTTGGAGCAGTGGTTCTCAAACTACAGGGTCTGTCAGAAACCTAAGGGTCTGTTAAACCACAGACGGATGCCTGCACCCCAGCCCCAGCACCCCTGCCAAGCTTCTGATCCCCTAGGTCTGGGTGGGACCTGAGGATCTGCATTTCGGATGAGTTCCCAGGGGATGCTGGTACTGCTGCTGTGGGTTCCACACTTTGAGAACCAAATGGTTTTAGAGTAGCACTGTCAGTGGAAATATTATACAAGCCATGGACCTAAGTTTACATGGTCTGGGACGAACATTAAAAAACATAAATGGAACATAAATTTAGTGACATATTTTCTGGATGCAATACATTCAAAATATTATCAATTAATGTAGAACACACCGATGAGGTCTCTTCCTTCTTTTGCACTCGCTCTTCAAAACCTGATGTATGTCTTGCACTCACAACACACATTAGGGCTCATCATGCCACACAGGCTGGTGGTTCCTGCTTCAGGTAGTGCAACTGTGGAGCATTCTCTTCGAAGGACAACAACAGGACTGACCTGGTCCCCAAGACTCAAGGAGAACATAAACCATGAGACTGCTTTACGGGGACCCTGAACCCCAGCCACAGGAAACTGGATGGGGTTAACACATGACTCGTGCTCACCAAGCAGGGACCTTTCCCAATACTTTGCTTGTTGCTTGCTTTTAACCAACCAGAAGCAAGCAGCAGCTGGACCCTCCAAGGAATGGGGGAGGCACGGGCAGGACTGACAGCCAGACTTCATACCACGTGACAAAGAAGATGACAAAGAAGCAGAGAAAGGTGACGTGAAGTCCTGGGGAGTCCCAGTCCATGGTCCCGGTCTCTCTATTCTCTGGTCTTGCACTTTTGTCCTGCACACAGTGACCCGGAACCTCAAATGTCTTCCATAGATTTCTCTTCTGTTCAAGTCAATGTTCTGTCATTTGTGACCAAGGGAGTCCTGACTAATAGACATGGGCCTTCCAGTGGCTGATGTGATGTGGCCTGTCTGCATCAGGGAGCCCGGGGGGCTTGTCTCTCTGTGCTGGGCTCAGTGACATGAGGACTCACAGTACCCCCCCTACCCCTGCCATCCCATCCAGGCTCCTGTTGCTCTCCACACAAACCTGCTCCTCCACAGCTCCACAGCTTAGGCCAGCATCTGAAGCAGGGTCTTTCATTCTACTTTTGGTGCATGTGTTTTAGTTCTCCTATTTTGGGCCAGTGAAAACATATCTGTCTACACTTATATGTGTCCAACTCCTACAAAGCAGTCGTAGGTAATGTGTGAGTGCTCAGTCAAGTCTGACTCTTTGTGACCCCATGGACTGTAGCCCACCAGGATCCTCTGTCCATGCGATTTCCCAGGCAAGAATGCTGGAGTGGGTTGCCGTTTCCTCCTCCAGGGGATCTTCCTGACCCAGGGGTTGAGCCCGATCTCCTGCACTGGCAGGTGGATTCTTTACCACTGAGCCACCCAGGAAGTCCTGTAAAGCAGCCGTGGTGAGATGCTGACCATGGCATCCAGGTGGTGGGACGTCGTGTTCAGTGTAATTCAGCTTCTCTGAGTGCTCAGATTTCAGCAGTAAAATACTTGGGGGGGAAGTCACTTGCTTTTCTGTCAATGTCTGTCGCCTCTTTCTCTTCTGGGCTCTGGGTTTTGTCTTCTTCCTCTGCTCACAGAGGCAGAGAGGAGAGGAGGGTCAGAGAGTACTGGGGTGCGGCTCTTGGCTATTCCTTCCCCCAACCCTGTCACCCTCTTTCACAGGTTCAGGCCTGGTGACCCGGAGGACCAGGACAAGAGCCGATAGCCTCCAGAGGAGTATCTGCGTCTCCCCCGATGTCCTCCCACTGGAACCAGTTTCCAAAACACACTTCCATCAAAGCAGAAACAGCTACCATTTTACTGGTTCATCAGCAGTAGGAAACACACCTGAGCTTCACCTGTGATTAAATACTGCTTGAAAATATTTTAGTATATTCCAGAAGTTCTCAAGGTCGGTTACAGGGGAAATGTATGTATTCATTTAAAATCCATATTGAAGATGTCTCCCAATAGGTCAAAGACAATAAAAATTAAAATGATGGAAATAATGGTCAGGGCCAGGATAACAGAATAATGATAAACAAAATTATGTGCAGGACACTATCCACACTTATATCTCAGGGCAGATACAGACCTCACCCCATCTCAGAGCAGCTGCGCAGCCTGAGGTTCCACAGCCAGGAGCGGGCACAGCTGAGGTCCTGACACGGCCTGTCTGACCCCCTCTTCAGCAAGCTGTTCCTAACCCACCGCCCCTGCCGGCATTCAGCCCACACTGAGCACTGCCAGGGAGCAACAGGACAGCACAGGGGGAGCCCAGAAGCTGTGTGCATGCAGTCCAGGGAGCCAGGCTCGGCAGGGTGGGAGGACACTTTACTCCCCTCTGAGCGGGTGGGGAGAGCCTGGAGGATTTTAAGCAGAGGAGTGACTTGTGTTGACTTGTGCTGAAAGGACCACCCAGCTTCTGTTGAGAACGGAGCATAGGCTACAAAGTCAAGAGCAGGCAGGTGGTCCCTGGGATGTTTTGCAGGTGAACCGCGGGATGGGAGGAAAGGAGGGTCTGGAGGTGACGTCAGGGCTCTGCCTGGGTGATGACAGCAGGGAGTTGCTATTTCCTGGAACAGGGAGAGTCTAGAGGAGCAGGTTTGCAGGTGGGAGAGACGGAGGGGAAGGAGAGCAGTCAGTGTTGAGTATGTCACCTTCAAGGGCCCTTCCAGACGCCCAGGGGGTGGGTCACAAAGGCAGCCGGAGGAGCGCTGGCTGGAGACACAGATCCATGTGTCACCCCCGCTCGGTGTCAGAATTCATGAGTGGATGCTGTCACCTACAAGAACTGTCCTCACCAGGAACAGTGCCATTCCTCAGGGAGTATGTCAGAATTTTGTGGGGGTGTCTTTAGCCGCCACCGTGATTGGAGGCGGTACTGGCGTCTACTGGGTGGGAGGATGGAGACCCCAGACGTCCTTCCGAGAACCTGACAGCCTGGCACAGGGAACTGTCTGCATCCACACTCTTCACAGATCCCTCAGACACTCGCAGAGCTGGAGCATCTTTGATTGTTATCCAGGTGGAGAACACCCCTTTGTTTTACGTATAAAGACAATGTGTTTCTTATAAGGCTTTAAGATACACTCAACTTTCTAAGAACAAGGGAAGACTGCACTTGGGTTCACAACTTCACCAAGAGTGCTCAGCATTCAAACCATCACCCCAGCCTTCCCGGTGCCCGAGTCATCAACACAATAACCCTGAATCTGTCTGCTCAGAGTGGCCACATCCATGGGGCAACAAGAAGCATTACAGGTCCTTCAGTGGAGCCACACACAGGCAGTTTCGGGTGGAAATGTGATGTTTTAATTATAAATGATGTTCCTTTTGTTCCTTCTATAGTTAGGATGCTACACTGATTTCTCCAGAGTGTCTGTGTGTGTAGGCCAGTGACAAGGTCTCTGAGTTTCATCTCAGGGTGGAAGGAGGTGCTCCAGTCCACTTATGTTAGGAACCCCGGGGCGGGGAGGACGAGCCAGCAGGGGAGACCCCCAAGGGCTGCCCTGGTTGGGGGGGGAACCCTGAGAGGAGAAGCCCAGATGCAAGCCAGTGGGGCAGTGACACCTGGATTATGAGGACCCTGGTGACCCTGAGCCCGTCCAGTGGACACTGGGGCCAGACTCTGGCTGGAGAGTCCACATGGTCCATGCAGGGGGTCCCCGTCTCTGTCCAACCACAGATTTCCTCTCGAGCCCAGGGTACCCTGACTGCACCCCCTTTGCTCTGTGCCTTCAGGTCAAGCTATGTTGGGGCCCTCCTGGGGCCCTGCTCACTGCCTCGGGGCACCCAGCAGCCCTGCCCAGTGTCCCATCCATACCTTGCTGAGTCGGGACTCAAAAGCCAGCGAGGTGGAAGACTTAGAGCTCTTCATGCCGGGAGAGGGGGCTGGGAGGGGCCGGGGGCGGTCCACCCCATGGCTCCCTGTCCTGGTCACTGGACTCCAAGGCTTGGCTGCGCTCTTCATGTTTGTCCCAGGGAGTCCTTCTGTACAAAGGGTAGAAAAGAAAACCCATGTGTCCACACTTGACAGAGCTTCACCCCTACACACCATGGGCATCACTGCTGTCATGGAGAACAAGCCTCCAGATGAGGATGCACAGAGAGCACCTTCCTCCTGAGATGGTACCTTCCCACCAGGTTCCTTTCTACAGCTTCTCAACAGCTCTCACTGAACTACTGGTAACACACGTGTACCATTACCGATGTTCTGACATGGGTTGTGGCGGTTTAGTCACTAGGTCATGTCTGACTCTTGCGACCCCATGGACTGACCACTAGGCTCTTCTGTCCATGGGATTCTCTAGGCAAGAATACTGGATTGGCTTGCCGTTTCCTTCTCCAGGGGATCTTCACAACCCAGGGATCAAACCCAGGTCTCCTGCATTGCAGGCAGATTCGTTACTGACTGAGCTACAAGGGAAATGTTATGACATTGCTCTTCAGCAATGTGGAGATACATGTATCTTCCCACATAAAACAGGTCAGCTGGAGTCGAGACATACTATGTGTGTAAGCCTTGCCATTTTAGGGTTGACAGTCGAGCAACTTACATAATTTCCAAATAGACATAAATGAATTACTTGAAAATTCAATTTCACAGAAGCACAGCTTTTTTTTCTTCTTTTGGACAAAAATGGTATCAATTAAAAATTAATTGGGAAGATTTTGATCAGACAGACCTGCCATTATAGGGTAGAGTTACTCAATTAAAATATTCTAGGAAAGACAATTTGTGCAAAGGAGCAGGATGTGGTTAAAAACCTGGGGGAAACCCATGTCCAAAGGTGAGGAAGATGGCCTGCGTCCTGCCACCACTCCTGAGGATGTGGGCCAGCTGGCCATGAACCTCTGAGCCCTTTTCCCTCTCAGCAGCACAGTGGGACTCCGACTCTGCCTGTCCTTGTGGACGCTCATGACCAGGGATGTGAGGTCAAGGACCAAAACTGCAGATAAGAAACAAACTGGAAAATGCACTTTAAAAAACACCACCAGGTGACTGGACTTCCCTGGTGGTGCAGTCAGTAAAGTATCCACCTGCAGCGCAGGAGACCTGGGTTTGATCCCTGAGTCAGGAAGATCTCCTGGGGGAGGAAATGGCAACCCACTCCAGTATTGTTGCCTGGAGAATCCCACGGACAGAGGGACCTGGTGGGCAATAGCCCGTGGGGTCACAAACAGTCGGACACGACTGAGCAACTGAACCACCACCAAGCACCAGGTGACAGTGATGGCAGTGGCTGCACTCCCAGGTATTCAATCATGTCCAACTCTTTCGTGACCCGTGGACTGTTACATGGACTGTAGTCCACCAGACTCCTCTGTCCATGGGATTTCCCAGGCAAGAATACTGGAGTGGGTTTCCATGTCCTCTTCCAGGGGATCTTCCCAACTCAAGGATCAAACCCTCGTCTCCTGCGACTCCTGTGTTGGCAGGTGGATTCCTTACCACTGCGCCACCCGGGAAGCCCCAGCACTCACAGGACCTGGGTCTAATTAACTGCTCGCCTCCCAGATCGTAGCTGGTGCTCAGCAGCCCTGAGCCACCTCTCCCCTCACTGCATCCCAGGACACCCCGTTCTGCCCCCGAGAAAAGGAACAGGCTGCCCTCCCCAGCAGGGACGTCCTCCTGTTCTTGTCTCCTTTCCTGGAGACACCATTTCAACCAACGGCCTCCCAGCCGGGACCACCCAGCCCCTGCTCCTACTTAAAGAGATTAGCTGGTGGCCAGTGTCCAAGACCGTACCTGGCACTTGTTCGGAGCACTGCTATCCTGGCAGCTGTGCCAATGTGACTACAGGTGAAAATAATATTTTAAGACAGCGATTTGTTTTCTAAATCATTTCTGAGGAAAATTACGATTTCAGTCATATGACTAGTTCAATAGTTTATTAGTCTCAGCTTGATTCCAGGTATCATGATTTTTAAGATTCTGTATTTAAACAACCACTTCTTGTGTATTGCATGGATGTTTAGCACCAGCTATTTTTCTTTCTCGGCCCACAGTTTTTAATGCTGGTTTCCACAGCAACAATGGAAGAATTCCTAGGTTAAGACCTATATAGCAACTCATTTTATTAGGACTCTCAATATAAAATGAATGAACATAGCCTGAGTGATTCTTGGAGAGAATTACTGATGAATTTTACCCATGACTGCAGAACCAACCAGTGGCATGTCAGTCTGACTCATAGTGACAACAAATAAAGTATCTGTTTAATCAAGGCACCCTTTCAGGTGATGATTGCAACTACTTAGAGATGACTGTTGTAGGACTTACTTGGTGAAAACATAGGTGATTCTATACCGCATCTGTGCTTTCCAAAATCTACCCATCAAAATGGAAATGAAATGCATCATACTCATTCCCCAGAAGAAAGATAAGACCTTGAAGAGGAAAAGCAGAAGGAAGGTGATAGAAAATCTTCCCAGTGTTTCCCTAAGCCCTTGGCATAAAAAAAGAAAGAAAAAGAAAGGAAGGCGGCTTCCCTGGTGGTCTAGCCTGCCAGTGCTGGGGACACAAGTTCAACCCCTGCCTCAGGAAGATCCTACATGCCACAGGGCAACTAAGCCCACGAGCCACAACTACCGAGCTCGTGTTCCACAACAAAAGAAGCCATAGCAATGAGAAGCCGGTGCACCACAATGAAGACCCAGAGCAGCCAAAAATAAATAAATAAATCTTAAAAAAAAAAAGAAGGAAGAAAAAAAGGGAGGGACGAGGGAGAAAGAAAAGAAGAGAAAGGAAAGGGGGAAAATGCACCCCAGTCAAAATTCCAGATCTAAACTCTTAATCTCTTGCAACAAAACTGACAACCGTCCAGACAGTCACCTGAAAGACCTGCAGCCACTTCTCGAAGGCTGCAGTTACTTGCTCTGAGGCAAAATTCTCAGGGTTACTTCATTTGCATCATCACATCTTTATTCTCCTAGAACCTTGAACCCAATCTGATTATTCCCAGATGCATGTACACAGAGGACCTTCCTCCCCTGGGCCCCTCCACACTGCCTGACTCTTCATCCTTGGTTCCCTTCACACATCTTTCCTTCATTTTCCCAGATGGAGGCATTTATCTTGTACTCATGCACCAGCCAGACTCTTCAGATTCCATCTTCTTCCAGAATTCAAAATATACAGAAATGAAATAAGTAACATCTCCCTTTGAACCAGGAAGGGAGTCCTATTGGTAGGGAGAGTGCTGGGGGAGGGGTGCTGGGGTGGGTGCTGTGTTGGGGGGAATACGCCCTGAGGGGTAGTGGGCTCCACCAGAGCAGTGCCACTTTCCTGGGACGAGGATAGGACAAGGGTGCTGGGTGGGGGTGCTTCAGCCTCCAGCCAGGCTGAAGGCCAGCTCGGCGCCCTGCTCCCCACTCTCCACATCTAGGACTTTGTTAAGTATCGCCTGCCCCTTCCAGCAGGACCGGGTCTTCCTTGTGTTCCCCAAATCTTCTGAGGCCTCCTCTTTCCTTTGCTCTGACCACACCCAGCCGTGGGCTTTCCAGGAATGGACCCCAAAAGGAGCATCCTTGCAGTCATCCACCCACAGTGCTCAGCCTGTTCTGGCCCTGCTCCCTGTCCACTCCCTGGGATCGTCCTGCTAGAATTGGGCAGGGCGCCAGGCCCACTCCCAGCTTCTGCAGACTTTAACCTGATCCGCTTCCCACTGCCTCCTCTCCGACCCTCCTCTTGCCCTCACCCGTGGCCTGGCGCTGCTCAGGCCTCTTCACATGTCATCAAGCCCTCATCACAACCCTACCAGGTAGCATCACCCTCAGTCTAAGATGGGGACACTTGGTTCTGTTCAGGAGGTTAAGGAACTTGCCCAAACCACAGAGTTTACGATACAGCCAGGATTCAAATCCAGTTTTAATTGGCTCTTACACACCAGGGGTGGGCACGGCCTCCCTGGGTAGTGTTCTGAGGAAAGCACACAGGCTTCTGGATCCAGAGCTCCTGGTCCGATTCCACCTCCGCTGCTCACTGCACAGGCTCAGGCATGCTTCTCAAAACACTATGATTCCCAACATCTTCACCTGATCAACAGAGGTTTTGGTGCCTGCATCACACAACAGAAGATACTCAATGAGCATCAGTTGCCTCCTCACAATGCTCATGGTGTTCAGCCAAGAGCTACTTGGCTTTACGGACTCAGCAACACCCAGAGATGGATCCACGGAATCAATGTCCAGTGGCCGGAGCCAGACAGACACTCCAGACGTAAGCAAGGACTCTCCTTGCTCACAGAGCAGCCTGTGTTCACCTGGAAATCCGACAGAGGGAAAGTGCAGAGAACAATGAGTGGACACCCCACAGTCAACTAGGACTGGCCCCAGTGGCTGAAAGGCAACACCGTGTGCATGCTGATGAACGATACTTCTCTTAGGGTTATGAGTTCATAACAGAAAATAGACAGATGGGTTCTAGCCAAGCACAAGATGAAAAGAAAAAAAAAGATTTCTATGGTTAATTTCCTGCTTCCTAAAAATTCTTCTAACCAACTCAAGAGGATCAAACTGATCAAGAAATTACAGTTGACCTTTGAACAAAGTGGGGCTTAATTTATCCATCATTTATAGTTGGCCCTCCATGTCTGGGTCCCTCCACGTCTGTGGCCCCTACACATCTGTGGTCCCTCATGTCTGGGCCCCTCCACACCTGTGATCCCTCATGTCTATGGTACCTCATCCCTCATGTCTGTGGTCCCCTCCACGTTTGTGGTCCCCACACGTCTGCGGTCCCTCATGTCTGTGGTCCCTCGTCCCTCATGTCTGTGGTCCCTTCCATGTCTGTGGTCCCTCTGAGTCTGTGGTTCCTTGGTATCCACAGATTCAACCAACCATGGACGAAGATGTACTGAAGGATCCGCTGTGGGAAAAAACCTACTTGTAGGTAGATCCATGCAGTTCAAACCCATGTTATCCGAGGATCCGAGGTACACTTAAACTTAGGAACTCACTCCACCAGGG